CACATCATCATTCCATCACACACACACACACACACACACACACACACACACACACACACATATACATGCGTACACACGCATACACACGCTCGCCGAGGAAAAGTGAGGTCCGTGCCCCAAAGGGACTCTAGACAATGGCTTGAAAATAAATCATACCGATGAGAAAGTTCCTCAGTCAGGAGCCATCTGTCCCTGTGAACGAGATGTGACTGAAGTGTTCGATTTTTCGCTCTTTTTTCGGATTCTTTCCCCCGACTCAACCCCACTACAACCCCGACCCCACCCCCAATCCAACCCTTTAGCCTATATATGAAGCATCCACCGCACGCACTAAGCCCCATACATCACCCACAAACCCTCTAATCCGTTGCCCGCATCTCAGGAGATCGAGACCGAAAGCGTGCAGAAAAACAAGACTGACTTGCCTCGTCGCGGTGCAGCCTCTGGACGGTAATCCTTTCTTTCTTTCTGGCGAGAAAACGCAGCAGCAACCTGTCTTCAGCTGCAATCCTGCTGTCTGCTGCCGAGCAGAAAAACAAATGGAGGGATGGAGGGAGCGAGAGAGCCAAATAGGGGGTGTGGAGGGGGGTGTGGGGATGCAGGAAAGAGGAGGGGAGCAAAAGAGGGCAAGCAGGGGCTGGCTAACCACAGGGAGGCTTAAATAGACTGATAGATAAAGATAAGAACAGAGGGACTGAGAAGGAAATGTGAAAACACTGAGGGAGGGAGTGCCGTTACAGTGGCATCTGTTATGTTGACGGTGTCGGCGATGTGAAAAGCTGGAGTGCGAAATGAGGAAAAGACAAGAATGAACAAAGGGCAAAGCCTTTTGTTCCTCGCTATTACATCACAGGACAACAAATCAGAGAAATCAAACGTACTCAGGGCCACGAAAACATTTCATATGCACCTGTTTCTAGCTGCGAGAGTTGAGGTTTGGAAGCAAAATGAGAGAAACGGATGGGGATAAACAGAATTTATTATTCTGACAAACACTCTGAGATACAGAAGCAGAATGACATGTGTAATGGACATCTGGCTTCATAGCTTACATTAGGACATTTTACATTAGTTAGCAGGTCATTTTGCTTCCATCTGTCTCAACGAAAAACATTTTTGTCTGCTTTCTCCTAAAGAAAGGTTGCAAGACACATTTGTTCATGTTTTATCACAGTTACCAGGAATGAAGTAATTTGGCTGGACAGAAATGTTCAATTATATATAATAACAGTAATAATAATAATAAAAACAATATTTTATAATAATAATAACGATAGTCATAATTTATAAATAATTTGGCTGAACAGAAATGTTTTATTATATACATTTAAAGTAAATGATAAAATAATAATAATTAAACATTTTATTTAAAGTATTATAAATTATAATAGAAATATATTATAAATAATATTGATATATTCATGTTAATAATATTAAAATAATAATTTACAAATGATTTGGCTGGTCAGAAACGTCAACTATATACATAACATGAATAATGATAATACTAATAATTTCTTATTATTATTACTGTTACTACTACTTTTACATATGTTCATCATATATTTAATATTTTCACAAATAATAATTCTAAAAATATATAAAATGTAAAAAAATTATACTGAAACTAGCACAGCTATGTTGTCTGGGGAAAATATTTGACCCCAGAATGTCACGACTGATTAATCAAAATCAAGTATTCCAGAGAACTGTGGGGAAATAAATAAATAAATAAATAAGTGTTACTGATCCAGTAATACCACTTTGACTCAGTTTGAGAGGCACTAGTCAGGGAAGACATACATTAATGACAGCTGAATCTGCCTCTGTATCTATAATTGTATTAGTGACATGCAGTCCTGTCTCAGGGTCACATGCCTTTATTGTCACTCTTCTCCAGCCGGCCATTATACCCCCAACACAAACATACACAACACACACACATATTTATACACACACTCCTAGCCACTGGCCACCTGGTGAGGCAACTAGCTGCTCGGGCCATCATTGCACAAAAGAGACAGCTGTACCCCTCCAAATTCCTCATGCATAAGCACCAACTGACCCTCGCACACATCCAAACAGCCAGCCTCACATTCACAAGCTCTGATCAATCTTGACTCACTACTGTCATGTTCACCAGCATCACGTCATGTAAAATTACCAGGTAATTGACAGCAAGATACCAACTGCTCCATTAAACCGGATATTAAACGCACATGCTTTCATAAAGACATGTTTGTATCTTGCTGGAACCAACCTATCTAAATCTATCTATGAAGACAATAAATGATATTATACAATTATTATATAAATAAATTACATTTCATAAAAATTCATCAAAATATATCATGGTTTCCACAAAAATAAGACATGTTGCAGCATATTAGAAGGATTTTCTGAAGGATCATGTGACACTGAAGACTGGAGTAATGCCAGCTGAAAATGCAGAATTTGTGGAAAAACCATACAGTGTGCAACTGAACCAGATCCAAAGCCAAATTCACATTTTGTACATATGTGATCTAGATTAAGTGTAGTGACCTAACATCATCTCCAGCCCCTCCTATCATCTTGTTTATCAAGTTACGACAGATAAATTTTGACCCCAGATCAGCATGAACTGCTGTTATATGAATAGTCCCAAACGCTGAACTGCTTTAGAAGTTGATTCTGGAGCATCTGCACACATCCAACCCCCCCTAGTTTCACATAGATGGCCTCCTTCACATGTCTCATCTGTCCTCAATGTCCATGATCTAATTATCATGTCTTTAAAGGTGAAGCATGCAATTTCAGTAACAATAACTGTTCATAAACGAAACCCAAAAGCTCGCTCTGTCTCCCATTGTTCAATCAAACCAATTCTGTTTGATGCAAATAGTGACAGAAATGGCTCACTTAATATTTAAGCCAATGATTTTTGTCTTTCAAGTTGCAAACATATGGATGGCTTTGATTTCTGGGAGGCCACGGCTATGTATCCATGAAACAGTGATGAAGTTGAAAAAAGAGATGGAGCCCACTACTATCGGTCCTTCCTTCCCATCTGTCCCTCCAGCTGTCTCATGTCTATCAATCATTCTCAAACACACACACACACACTGCCACTCACTTTCAGTCACATCAGAGTGTTTAATCTGAGACAGTCTACAGCTCTATTAACCAGAAGAAGATGCAAAACTCACCATCCAAACAGTTTAAAGCTGAGTTGGGGTTTCCTTTCAACTAGACAGCATTGGGAGTGCTGCTACAAATATTATGACTTATCAAAACTATTTTATGCACAAAGCAGAATGTCAGCAAAGCTGTAGCAAAAAAAATCCAGAGAGCTGCCTTGCTGTTTCTTGCCTCATGGAAAGCTAGAGCTCTGCTTTGTTACATGCTAATGGCAAACTCTTTATACTAAAATAAAATATAAAAACAAAAAGTATCAAGTAAAAGAAAAAAGTGTATAATTACAATCAATATTTTTCTCACTTTGTCTGATGTTTAATAATGTTTTTAGTAAAACTTTACAATAAAAGTTCATTTTGTTAAGATTATTAACATTAATTAGGTATGATGAACTAACAATGAACATACTATAACTTCTTCTATTTTAATTTATTTTAAAATGTAATTTAATCCTGTGATGGCAAAGCTGAATTTTCAGCAGTCATTAGTCTTCACATAACCTAATCTTCATAAATCATTCTAATTTTCTGATTTGTTGTTCAAGAAGCATTTCTTATTTATTTCATACTGAAAACAGTTGAGCTGCTTTAATATTTTTATGGAAACTGTGGTTCAATTTTTTTTTCTTCAGGATTATTTAATGAATAGAAAGTTCAAATGAAGAGCATTAATTTAAAATATAAATCTTTTGTAAAATTATAAATGTCTTTACTGTCACTCTTGATAAGTTTAATGTATCCTTGCTGAAAAAAAGTATTAATTTATTTAAAAAAAAAAAAACTTACTTTAAATGGTAGTGTATGGAGAAATTAACATAAAATAAGATTAAAAATTATTTCTGTAAAAGTATTGTTCATGGTTATTTCATGTTAGCTACTGTATTAACTAATGTCAATGTATACTATAGCAACATAAAATATTAACGATTTTCCTTACAGTGCATTCACTGTAAAAATTATTTCTAAGATTAGTTATCACAACTTAAAATTTAACATAAAAAAGTAATGTTAAGTAATGTATGTGTTGTTTCAGAAAAAAATTACGTGTTCATGCCAGACTTAAAATATAAGGTTAGCTAACGTTTGTTTAATTTAGTTAAGTTGGATATTTAAGATATCTCAATAAACTTTAAGTTGTTATAACTAATTGCAGCAACATTTACAGTGTTGTGAGACTGACTTTCCTTTCAATACATTCTGGAATTAATCATTGATAATATATCAAAAGAACAATGTTGCTGCCTACTTTTTAGAACAGCTTTGATGGTGTCTATGATGCCTTAAAATGCTGTCTAGGTAGGCAGCTTACTAGGTTTTGCAGCAGAGCTTTAGTGTCAAATCATTTAAATGTAACAGGTAGCATGTGTACTTATGAAAAAGTCAATTTTCTATACACACACAATTGTGTAAATCCACAAAGATACAGCATTACCGGTTTAAAATACATGAAAATCTTTGCCAGTTTCTATAGACAGACATACACAAGGGAAAATCTCTGGACTTCTAGAAACATCGGTCTTATAGAATCGAAGCACGTCCACTCAACTGCACACATGTCCAATACTCTCTTCCTCTACACAGATACAAAAGCACAGACTATTTCATCACACCTCTCCAAGAACATGGCTGCCACCTACTCAATCGAAAGGAGGATTTCTGTGAATACTGACGGTGTCCTCCCTTCCACTGCCTCAGAACAAACAGTCCAGCCATCACTTTGAGGCGCACACAGCTTCTGCACATGAACTTTAGCAAAAGAATGAAGTAGAGCAACATATAGCAGAGTACAGTATAGAGAAAAGTAGAAACAATAAGTGTACTCACAAGGCACTGCGTGGCGGTAGAGGTTGTCGCGTATGGTTTGCTGAAGCTCGTAGTCAGCAGAGGATTTCTGAAACCTTTGGCTCAGGTAGTGTTTCAGGTCTTTATTGAGTTTATTTCCTGCAAAACAAAAGGAACATGTTATTGATTCTGAATCATGTGCGGACTCAGCAGATATCTCTAGTAGTGTAGTTTGCTTCTGACTCACTGTTTCACCATCAATGGATAAAACTTCCAGTGCGTGGCTACAATAATTGTAGCAGGTACATATTCGTGATCTGAAGAGGATTTGGGATGTTTCTACACTCTCAAAAATAAAGCTGCAAAAGTTGTCACTGGGGCGGTACCTTTTCAAAAGGTACACTTTATACCTTTTAGGTACTAATATGTAGACTTGAGGTAATAATATGTACTTTTAAGATACCAATATGGACACTTTAGGTACAAAGATGTATCTTTTGAAAAGGTACCACCTCAGTGACAGCTTTTGTGAGAGTGTATAGCATGGCGCTAAGAACGCCTAAAACACGGGTTTTTATAATGTATTTAATGCAATGTATTCAAGAAAAACTAACTTGCATACTTGTCAATGGTCTCAATTGGTAATAGTTTAATACATTTTTGAGAGCAAATGGAAGAAGTGGATATCTTCTAGATATAGGAGATGCTAATGAGTGCACAGTACTGTTCAAAAGTTTGGGGTTATGATACTTTTTGAAAGAAATTAATACTTTTAATAAATGCTGTTGTTTTCTATTCATTAAAGAATCCTAAAAAAAAAAATAGTACAGTTCTACAAAAATATTCAGCAGCACAACTGTTTTTAACATTAATAATAAGACTTGAGCACTAAATCAGCATATTAGAATGATTTCTGAAGGATCATGTGACACTGAAGACTGGAGTAATGATGCTGTAAATTCAGCTTTGACATCACAGGAATCAATTACATTTTAAATATATATTAAAATAGAAAACAGTTCTTTTAAACAGTTATAATATTTCTCAATATTACAGTTTGTACTGCATTTTTTATCAAATTAATGCAGCCTTGGTGAGCATAAGAGACTTCTTTCAAAAACATTAAAAAACACCTATTCTTAGAATGGTTTACAATTATGTTGTTGGATGTTTGGATCAAGTAAGTCTAGTAACTATGTTTCTCAAACCGTAATCAATGACAAATGAAACACATTTGTAAACATTAATTGTGGCGCATGGGTGTGAAACCGTAATCCATGAGACATTAACACATAGTAGCACACCTCCATTCACACTCATGGGGATACCTGGCTGCCACCTCAACCCAGTGCAAGCAATAGAGTGGGCCATGTGAAACATTTCCCACCCTCAGCTCCACCATCTGTTTAGAAGACACAGATTGCTTACCCAGCACCATTTCAAAGAGATGCCAATAGCCAAAAGCTGTTTATGTGTTAATGTGGGTCCGCTGGGTGCCCGCAACAATGCCAGATCAGTCGTCGTCGGCACTGCCTTCCCACAAACTCTCCATTTCTCACATGTACAAGTGACTCAAGGGACTGCCCTTTACCGGATTAATGGGAATATTGCAGTTCTAGAGAGTTCTTTGAATGGATAGTCTCATTAAGGCCTAATGATGTAATCAGTTTCTCTCTCGCTTGCTCTGTAGTATGTCGTTGATCAAATGAAACTGCATTTTAAAACTTTATGAACATACATAATTGGTTGCCTTGGCGATACTCAGTGCTGCAAGTCTCAAATGCCGCCCTCTGCCCTTGAAATTTTCCTACCAATGACATAAACCAGCACAGACTGTCAGTTAATAATCTACTGTAAAGTTTATGGCGATCTGGGCTCTTCGAGCGTGCACAGTAGATGCAAAACCTCAAGATGACCATTTTGTGTACTAAAAGAATAAAAAATGTTCACAATAATTTCTAAATCTAAAGCTTGATCCCAGTTTAGAAACATCATCTTGTCATTAATGCACTGGGATATCTAATGCAGTTTCTCCAGTGTTTTGTATAGAACCAGGTTTAGCTTTGTACAGAGCACTGACTGAAGAAATAAAAGAAGGGCTAAGAAATAAAATGGAACAAAAAGTCCAAATTAATCATGCAATGAGAACAAAACAGTTTAACAACTCAAAAGTCAACATCACAGGATGTAAACAGCCTATTCAAATGGACAAAGCAAACTCAACAAACACTTGCTTTTAAAAATGAGCACTTACAGCAATTTTCCCTGAAACAGATAAACATTTTGCAGAAACGATACAAACTATTTTCTTATGCTTGGAGGATGAGTTTTAGGTTCTACAGAGAATCTGAATCTCTTTGTCCTCTTCTATAAAAAATAATTCAATACTCCTTCACTTACTCTCATCATAGTGTGTTCAAACAAATAATAATATCCCCAAAAAACTGGTTATAGCTTTAATATCGTGGTCTACAAATCCAGAGCCTTTATGTATCTTTAAAGTCAGCATGAAATGGAAATTCACCAGATCCGTTTCATAAATGCATGTTATTGATTGCATTGTGAATGATCTATACATGCATACTTTTAATTTTTCAATTTTGACTTAATATTTAATCTAAACTGCAGGCTTCTTCTCTGGTGCCAGACTTTTTCCATCATTTAGTCCCTCTCTTGCAATCGGCTGCAAGCTTGAGATCTGCCTCCATCAACAACCACAAATAGGACCAAGTCCCAAACCTAAACATTTTTTTTTCTTTAGCGATAATCTGTTTCACTCAGATGCAAATCACAATATGGAATAATCGATTAAGATATATGGAATAAAGCTCTTTCACGGCAATGAAAAAAATGTTCAGGAAAGCAAAAAACGCTTTTAATTTCACAAAAGTTAAATATGTATAACATTGTGGTCTCAATTTTAATCAGTAAAATGCAACGTTTTTCATGTAATAAACACAGATTCAAAACACAGCAGATATGGTTGCACACATTGCATTGAGGTAAAGATGTACATTTAACGCACAGTTCGTGTTACTGCCACTATGTTGAGCAGACTGTACAATTAGCTGCAGAACAAGTAACAGCTCTGCCAGGCAATGTTCAAGCTAGAAGGTCAGAAAAGAGCTCTTCTCTTCTAATTGAACCTCTGGAGGATTGTTTCTTAATCTAGCCACATCCAAGTCTAAAAATACACTTCCATACGAAACCCATTAGACTGCTTTTTCAGAACTAAAACGGGAATAATGTGCGAGTGTGAAATTCCTGTTGAGTTGGTGTGTGCAGTCTGGCGTTGATGTTAACGCCACGGCATACCGCTGTGAATTAATTCCTGCAACAGGTTGCGAGTCATTACTCAAGCCTACAGCAGCCAGACTACACACCCACCCCCATCCATCATCCCAAACTCACTTTATTCCAATTAGCTGCTTACTAGTCGGACTCAACGGCAACACTGGTTAAAAAAAAAAAAAAAACTAGATGAGATCTAAGATCTTGCCCTGCAGAGATGAGTCCAAGAGAGGGATGTAAAAACAAAAAGATTGTACTGTAGGCAGATGCCATGAGATAGACTTTATTGGAAAGACTTGACTTATTTTACATTTTGTTTGGGGGGGGGTGGGGTTACAGTGGCTTATGGCACTACTACCAAAGTACTGTCATGGCCAGTAGTTTCTGTGGACATTCGCTACTAATGTGGAGGTTGCCGAGTACAAAATGAGTTACGATTATGCGGAAGACAAAACAGGTCTACCACAATCCCCATGTCTATAATCTATAACAATGACTTTCAAACGGAAAGAAGGGCCACAATAAATGTATTAGTAAAAAGATAAAATGAAATAAAAGAATATACTAATGTTTTATTCAAAATGAAATAAAATAATATACTAATGTTTCATTCAAAGAACTGAAAATAACAATAGACAACCAAACTAATAATAATAGGCACATATTTCTCAGCTAATTAGGCCTTAAAGGGTTAGTTCAAAAATGAAATTCTGTCATTAATTACTCACCCTCGTGTTGTTCGAAACCCGTAAGACCTTCGTTCATCTTCGGAACACAATTTAAGATATTTTTGATGAAATATGAGGGCTATCTGACCCTCCCATACACGGCAAGGTAACTACCACATTCAAGGTCCAGAAAAGTACCAAGCTGAAGCTACGAGAATACTTTTTTGCGCAAAGAAAACAAAAATAACGACTTTATTCCACATGACAGTATCATGACGCGAGCGTGTGGCAGCGCTGACCCAGATCCGGCGTAATGACGTCATCCCGTCGGATCTGGGTCAGCGCCGGCGTCACCACACGCTCGGGTCATGGTACTGTCGTGAACGCGTGTCCAAAGTGACGCAGTAGAGACGAAAATGTGGAATAAAGTCGTTATTTTTGTTTTCTTTGCTTAGTTTAGTTTTCGCAAGTTATTACACATGCACCTGAATAATTATGTATGTAAATATGTATGTTACAATTATGAAAACGTTT